TTAATACTAAACCTATAAATATATGTACATAGATTTATTTCCCCATCATCATATATAAATATATTTACATATGTACATACCTGTATTTAGGCCTCTATAAATGTCCTTTGCCTCTTAGTTCTTTCATCTATTTCCTTTTACTTTACTCTTATCCCGCTATCATGTTCATCAACCTTCATTTGGGTTTCAGTAATTCCTCTGGGTTACATTGCCCTTGATCAAGTCCTACCAGACCTTCTGCACCCTCCTCCACATCGATTTCAGATCACTTGTTGTTCCCTTGTCCCTGGATTTGTTAGAGATTGTAATTCTTTACTGGGGTAGAAAGCCCCATCTTTCTGCCCTGTGAAGGAAGACTTGCTAAAATAGCAAAATAATATTAATAATAAATGAGCAATCAAGCACCCTTCTGTGGTAGTTAGATAATCTGGTGTCAGTTTGATGATTCAGAGTGAAGGGGTGGAGTCTAGCTCATCAATCAGGTAGTAGTTTGATGAATTCATTTGGAGGCACTAAGGAAATAAAGAGCTCACTGGAGATGGGACACATGCTCACTCCCTGGGAGACATCCCTGTAGAGAAGACACATGGGGAAAGGCTGATGGAGCCAGACCTCTGGAACCGGGGAAGCCATGGAGAGCCTTGCCAGCGCTGAGATGCTTACAACACCATTCAGTCCACAAGACTTTCCACCCATTGGCCTGTGATCTTCCTGCATTCAGCATCATTGCATTTGTTTCGTGAGTCTGAAGAGGACTTTATAGATTAGGATTGGACATATGGCCTAATATTGGAACTATGGACTTGAGCTGGACTGGGCTGGGATGTTTTCTCAATATTCAACTGCTCTTTTATATAAAGTTCTTTCTTATACACATATGAGTGTCTATGAATTTGTTTCTCTAATGTACCTGGACTAACACACTTGGCATGGTCACCTTGTTGACCACCTGGGTCAACTTATTGAAAAGTGAGGGAAATGCAACCATAAAGAGATGGGCAGGATTTAGACATTTAAAAAAAAGAAATTGGAGTTAAAGCTGCAGTTATGACCCTTTTACCTCCACCCTAGTGGCATAGTGGACCACACGTTGTTGCTAAGAGCAAGGTCAGTCTTGGGATAGTCAGAGGTCAGATGTGGCTCCTACATCATTTCTTTATTCTTTTAAAAAATAATTTTATTGGCGACTCTTTCAGCTCTTATTAAAATGCATGCATCCATCCATTGTGTCAAGCATGTTTGAACATATGTTGCCATCAATTTTCGAAACATTGTCTACTTGAGCCCTTAGTCTCAGCTCATTTTCCCCATTCCCCTGCCTTTGCTCGCTCCCTCATGAGCCCTTGTTAATTGATAAATTATTTTTTTCATGCCTTCCACCGTCTATGTCATTTCTTAATGACTATATATTTCACACCTCTCTTCATCTTCATTGGATGTCCTCACTCCGACACTCTATGCTATTGATTGTCCATGCTGGAATACAGCCACTGGATTCCAGAAAATTCTACTGTTATATATGATCTCTAATGACAGTTCCTTCTGATTTCCCAACCCCCATCCTATGGATGCCCTAGTAGTTAACACTTCCCTTCAACACCCAGCCTGTCTCATGGTTCAATCAGTGAACTTATCACACAAAATGAAACACGTGCTTCGGAAGAGGCATGGCAGAACGAAGAGGTTGATCATACAGCTAGCAAAGTGTGCTATGGGGCTTCCACCGTCTTTAGTACCTTTCATTCTGGTACATTCTATCATGCTCTTGTTCTCAACCTGTGGTCTTTTTGTTTTTTTCTCCTCTTCTCAAAAATAGGTCTGGTTTTAAATCTTTACATTTTACTGTGACTTTAAGACAAACACTGCTCAGTCTCAAGAGTTACCCAAATTTTCTTTTAGATCTGAGCTTTAACGGGAGCATAATTATACATTTCCTTTCCACCCGAGAGTACTTTATCCCCAAGAGAGTACAGCATCATTGAACAGGTGTTTGATGGGGAAGGAAATCCTGTTAAGTGCTTTTGCATTCAAAGCACCCAAACGGTTTCTTGTAGCCCACATTTAAGCCTGGGCTGCTGCCATGGATAGCTATGGAACATCACTCTCTTCTTTTTAAATGGGAGCTGTCACAACTCTTCACAATCCATACATCCATCATGTCAAGCATATATGTACATGTTGCCATCATTTTATTTTTTTAAAAAATTTTATTGGGGGCTCGTACAGCTCTTATCACAATCCATCCATCCATCCATCCATTGTGTCAAGCACATTTGTACATTTGCTGTCATCATCATTCTCAAAACATTTGCTTTATACTTGAGCCCTTGCAATCAGCTCATTCCCCCCCACCCTCCCTTCTTCCCTCCCTCCCTGATCCCTTGATAGTTTATACATTATTTTTTTAATGTCTTATACCGACTGCTGTCTCCCTCCACCCACTTTTCTGTTGTCCATCCCCCTGGGAGGGGGTTATATGTAGATCATTGTGATCGATAGCCCCTTTCACCCTCCATCTTCCCCTTACCCTCCTGGTATCACTACTCTCATTATTGGTCCTGAGTTGTTTATCTGTCCTGGATTCCCTGTGTTTTGAGCTCTTAACTGTACCTGTGTACATGTTTTGATCTAGCTGCATTTGTAAGGTAGAACTGGGGCCATGATAGGGGGGAAGGGGAAAGAAGCATTAAAGAACTAGAGGAAAGTTGTGTTTCATCAGTACTGTACTGCACCCTGATTGGCTCAAATGAAGCACAAGACCCAAAGTGGTTTATCTCAACCCTGGTGACTAAAAATAAAATAGAAACGTATAGTATTACAAAAATGTTTAATGTTCACTCCGAACTAACAGGTTTTCTACAGAGGGTTTTACCCAAATATCCATAGGCATTCATTATAAATTCTATATCTACACAAGAGCTTTTCTTCGGAAGTCACCATTGGCAACCCCGGAAATACATAAATCATGAGCTCCCACAATTCAATTATGTCGTGGCCTTGAAGGACTGAAAGAGCAAAGGTAAAGTAAGTCACAATGACACAAACATGTCTCTCACTTCTAAGTCAAATAACTTCGGCCCTCCCCAGAGGGGGAAGGACAATGAAATCTCAGAGAATATACACCTGATGTTTCCACTATTCATTATCTTATCATGGTTAATCTTAAAGCTTAAAAAAAAATAGCAAAAAATCAGCAGACTTCTTGGCCACATCACATTGCGGAGTTACAGGGGAACATGGCTGAATAGGTAAGACACCGATTCACCATTATGTGTTCTTCGGATCGCCTCCGCCAAGATCATGGAAACGTCGATCACCTAAACACCAGTGGGAACACACAGGAAAGGGAAGACAGAAGTGAGGTATCATGCACGCTTCTATTCATTTCAAAACTGACGAGCCAGAGAACTTGGAGACAAAGTGCTTAGCACACGAGCTACGCGGTTTTCAATCCCCGCCCCAACACACACAGTTTTTTGAAGGGACAAACAGCTTTTGGGTCTGTCTTCCGATTACAATCTGCCAAACTACACCTGAATGGGATCCTAGAAGCCAGGTGCAAGCAGACTTTATTTTACTCCAGATGGCTTTTTGGAGCTTTTCACAATCTAAAGATTTGTGGCCACCCTGCTTCGAGCCAAAAGCCACGTGCTCCTTCCATTGCTCCAGGTCCCATTTTGGTCATTTTCATAACATTCCAAAAATCTTCCTCATGTTATTGCATACTTCATACACTATCGATTTAAAAAAAAAATCTGATGCTGTAGAGTTGACTCCAATTCACAGCCATATCTCTATAGGACAGAGTAGGACCATTTCTGTGGGTTTCTGAGGGTGTAACTCTTTATGGGAAAAGAAAGCCTCATTTTTCTCCTTCAGAACCGCTGGTGGTTTCAAACTGCTGACCTGGTGGCTGGCAGCCCAAGGCTTAACCCTCAACACCACCAGGGCTCCTTTCATAGACCACCAAATCAGAAAAACAAACTCATTGCCATCGAACTGATTCCAACTCACAGAGTCCCTATATGGTGGGGTAGAACTGCCTCTGTGGGTTTCCAAGACTATAACTCTTTACAGGAGTGGCAAGTCTCATCTTTCTCTGGCAGAGTGGCTGGTGGTTTTGAACTCCTGACCTTGCAGTTATCAACTCTACTTGTAACCACTACGCTACCAGGGGTCCTCCTTTCATAGACCACAGGCTAGTATAAACGTGTCAATCCAGCTTTTATATGCACCGGGCAGCTCACAAAGTTGAGCAACTTACTGGCCTGCAGCCAACCTGCATGGTCTCTGAGGCATGTTTGTACTCAAAGGTGTTTCAGGGTCAATTTAACCAGACACATTCTTTTCTGGAGGTGTTTGCTTTTCAGTCACATTTTACTCTAGCATTATATGGAAGGTTTTCCTTTCTTTCAGAAAATGTTATGCTTATTCTGTGCAAGCGCAAGCCTGTGACTATCTAACCTGAGGCCAGGAAACTCCGTGTTCTGTGAAAGGCCTCTGGCCTGGCAGGCCAGATGGGCTCTGTCATAAGTACTCAAGTCTGAGGGGTGGCCCAAGAGCGATCATAGACAATATTATAAATGAATAGGGTAGCCACATTCCAACACAACTTTGTTACCCCCAACCAGGCATGAAACTACAAGGTGGGGGGATATTCTGACCATTTTCAAATGTACCTCCTTGTGCCACACAAATGGGTCCTAATTGTCTAGGACTCACATGGCAGATCACCACCATCACAATCTACTGATGGGAAGGCAGGCGATGAAATGACTTGCCACCATTGAAAGTGATGGCCCCATTTCTCTGGTGGTCAGTGGAAAAGGAGGCCTGGTGACATAGTGGCTGCACTTTGGGCTGCTAATCTCAAGGTGCCGCACGAAAGAAAAGCAGGGCTCTCCACTCTCTGGCTTAAAGAGTTACAGTCTTGGACTCCACAGAAGCAAGTCACCCTGCCTTCTAAGGGTTGCCTTGTGTCAATTGAATCGAGGCAAAGAGTTTGGTTTTGATTTTCTGGTGGCCTTTGGCCATGAAGTCAGGGGGTGACCAAGAAGGGGCAAAGCTCAGAAGACCCTCAGCACAGCCTGCTTCTTACTGGCCTTCTATTGTAATTGTATTCCTTCGGCTTTTTCAAAAAGCAGATACGGCCTTCAGAAGGCCTTGGCTTTGGTCTGGGAGCTCAGAGGACTTAAAGAGCCTGACCAAGCAGTTGTTCAAGGAAGAGGCCGCTCTGCTTGACACGCCTCCCAATGCCGCGACCCCACCCCCACTCTCCCACCAGTATAGGTACTACCTGAATCTTGGGGCAGTGTTTCATCTTGTCTTCCTGTGGGATTGTGTTTGTGACGACCACAGCCTCAAAGGCAGCATTGTTGATTCTGGAAATGGCTGGCCCTGAGAAGATGCCGTGGGTCAGGATCGCGTAGACTTTGGTAGCTCCAGCAGAGAGCAGTCTGTAAAATAACAGAAAACAATGAGGTCCACATTGATGAACAGTCATGAAACTCTCTTGGGGAGGGGAAGGAAAAAGGTGTGTTTCATGTAGAAAGTGTGAAAACAGAGGCCACTCGGCCATTATATTCATTCAGCACTTTAACCAGGTCCTTCTCTGATGGGGGTCGGGGGCGGGGGGGCACCCTCCACCCAAGAGCTGACAACCAACAATGTCTCCGCACATTGTCAGCTATCCTTTTGGAGAACAGGGGGAGTAGCATCCGCAATGGAGAATTATCGGATTGGTCCAAAAAGCAAGTAAAAGCAACATCATTTTGACATGTCATCAACAGGAAAAAAGTGACTAATGCGGTTAATTTCCATTCTTGGTTTCATTGTACTAGGTCTTGGACACCTGGCCTGTTTTTCACACTTCTGGCACCTCTCAATATGGGCGGGCCCCAGTGCCAGCAGTCATGTGGGCTAGCGCAGCCCACAGGATGGCCTTTCCCTCTGGGCCTAGTGTTAGGGAGAAGGCATTCTCAGAACCTTCCAAAAGCTCTGCAATTCAATTGTAAGCATGGCAATGCACCCACCAAAATGTCTTCCTTACTATGAAAATAATGAGAAATATAACAAAGTCCCAAATCTCCTTTGGTCTAGAAAATTCCACGGTCAAGCAATCTGAGTTGGATAAGAACAGACCCGATTTTTCAAAACTGACCTTGTGCTACCCCTTAAGGAGGTGCCCCACCCTCCTTTGTGGCCCTAGGGTGCCCCACATACTTGTCAGCTGCATGGCATATTGTGCCACAGGTGTCGGCCATGTCATCCACCAGGATGGCCACTCGATCCTTCACGTCACCCACCAGAACCATGCGATCCACCTCATTTGCCTTCTTCCTCTCTTTGTGGATCAAAGCGAACTCCACATTCAGACGGTCAGCAATCGATGTCACCCTGCACAAAGACCCAAAGGGACTCGGTCAATCGGGCCAGTACAAAAGCTTCGTCTTTCCATGGGATCTGAGGGTGTGGGTACCCTACCCCTCACCCAATGAACTAGACTTATATGGTCCCCTTCTAGCCATGATCCCTAGGTGATTAACTGTGGATTTCATACGCCTGTGGCTGTGGTCCCATTTTGGAGAGCGTTATCTGGTAACAAGCAGGAATGGGAAATTGGGTTCTGACCTTAGTAGAGGGTGTAAATCAGACCACACTCTTTTACTATCATTTACAATGATGCAAGTAATTATATGCTACAGCTGAGAGAAAGAAAACTTTCAGGAGTGGCGTGGGGAAAGCCCAGCTGCTTAAGATTAGTAGGAGGCCAATGCCTACCATAAACATTTCACCAGAGGCCCCAGGTCCGATGTGCATAAATAAGATACCATATCCAGGGGTTTAGACAGGTGATTACATTTGAGTAAAACGGGATTTCACTATGTAACTCCTACCAAACAGCCTTTCCCTCTATGGGTTTGGCAAGAAGGTGGGGAAGATACCGATAGGTTTTGCCTGTGAAAAAGACAGTGACCAGGATTCCCCATAATGCCATCCTGTTGTGTTCCAAATGAGCTCACCACTGGCAAGAGCCAGAAGGGGAGCTCGTCGTCTGGCCCCAGCATCTGGCTTACCCATTTAAACTAATTTTTGACTTAACAGCAAAAACCACTGTGTGTGAGACATTTCCTTGAACTTTCTTGAGTTCTGTGGGACACTGCAGCGATTTCAGAACCCAGAGATATGAAGAAATATACTAGGGGTGGTTGGGAAGGGGATGGCTGGTACAGACTATCATCTTGCAAGAGGTAGATTTAGGGATGTTTTCAATCTCCAACTCCTTGGCACTAGTTTGATATTAATTCTTATACAAGACATTATTACCACACCAAATTTTCTTGGGAAGGCAGGCCTGGTCAAGGGCACATGCGAAGTAATCCACGATGGAAGGGCACTTGTGCTGTGACCTTGAACTTGTGTCAGCTAGATGCCAAGGCACCTTGACCCCAGAAACACCAGCTAAGAAATCGATGTGCAATTTGTGAGTGTGTGTGGATACTTCACAGAACTCAAAGACACAATGCTAAGAAAGTTACGTAGGAAATACTGTCTCAGATTTGTGGCCTGGCACCAGAGACAAAAGTCCTTGGTTAAAACATGCATTGTAATACATACACCTGTGAAAACAGGCATCGCTGTATTGGAGCCAAAGGATCCAGGATCAACCATGAAGACAGTCTCTCTGACCCAGAATGCCTTTGGGGGGGGTGTTAAGCCAGCAAAGAAAGGTTATAAAGCATCATTGAGCTGGAAGTGGTGGCAGGAGTCTAGAGGTGGAGAAGGTAGGAGCAGCAAGCAGCAGGCAGTAAAGTCTGTGCACTCTCTAGTGGCCACATCAGGTTTTGCATCACAGCCTTTGCCTTTTCTTAAACAATCCGTGCGAATTCATTTCCTTGAGTGACATGTGATTTGTGCAGGAAGTAACCCACCAGCAACGTCAACTGGGCATATTTGGCATTACTAGCATGGCTGTTTGGGGGCACTGTTCATGGGGAACCATTCATTTCAGGATGTGAAGCAGAAACCTTCAAGGATAGAGGGGAGGTGGCAAAAATTCCCAAAGGTCCACTCCTAAAATGGCTCTCTTTCCTGGCAGGGGGAGGAAGGATGAGGGCTGTGGGCTGGTGCTGCTCTGTCGGAAACAAACAGTCTATCGAGTCTAGGTCGCTGATTTGGACTTTCTTTTTTTAAACACACGACTACTAATGGAAAGCTTGATGGTTCCAATCCACCCAGCAGTTCCATGGGGGAAAGACCTGGCAATCTGTTCCTGTAAAGCTGGTAGCCTAGAAACCCCAGTGGGGCAGTTCGACTCTGTCGCTTGGGGCCACTATGAGTTGGAATTGGTTTGATGGGACTGAACAGTATATAATGGGAGGAAGATGAGGCTTTCTGCTCCCATAAATATTGACAGTCTCAGAAACCCACAAGGACAATCAGTTCTACTCTGTCCTACATGGTCACTCTGAGTCAGAATTGGCCCCAGGGCAGTGAGTCACAGTGTGAACAGTTTATAACAGAAGTCCTGGTGGTATGGGGTTAAACGTTGGCAGCTCAGACCCACCCAGTTGTTCTGTGGGAGAAAGATGTGGCAGTCAGCTTTCATAAAGATCACCACCTCAGACACTTGGTGAGGTAGTTCTCTCTGCCCTACAGGGTCAGTGTGAGGCAGAATCAACTAGAAGGCGGGGGGTTTGGGGGTTTGGTTCAACAGCGCATCATAAATGGTGGTGTTTCAGAGCAATCGGGAAAGAGAGCTGATTGTAATAGTTCTGGACCAATTGGGGGGGGGGTGCATTCTTATCTCACCTCTTATTCCAAAACTGAGGCCCTGGGTGGTATCGACAACCAACAAATGCACTCTCTCACTCTCACTCTCTCTTTCCCCCCGAAAGGTTGGAAGGTGTGAGTTCACCCAAAGGTTCGAACAAGGACTTGGGGATCTAGTTCTGAAAACCCTAAGGAGCACAGTTCTCCTAGGGCACACTCGGGGTCACCATGAGTTGGAGTCAAATGGTCGAGGGTTTGTCTTATGATGATTTCAAAATAAATTTCCGATGAAAGAAAATACAGACCCTTCCAAAAGCTAGCACGTTTTGAACAACCATAACACAGAACTCTGAATCAACACCCAACATATGAAGAACAGCATTTCAGGTTCTCATGGACCTCAGACTTTTTGGAGCCAGGCAAGGTGGCTGAAGCCCAGAAGCGATTGCTCTAAGATAATCTTTAGACCTGAAACCAAACCTATTTCCGGAAGCCTTTGGAAACCCCAACTAGAGTTTAGCGTAACTAATCCAAAAGGTCTGCCTTGAGCATTATGCTCTTTTAAGACTATCTACATGGGATCAAAGTGACAACAGCACCAGGAAAGAGTAGATAAGAACCTTCAGGGATTCGTAAGTGTATATGTATAGTGGAGGAACCACTTGGAAAAGGAAAAAAATTGTTACATAACTTGAAGAATGGCATCAATGTCACCAAACAACACATGTAAAAGTGGGTTGGGCCTGGGCCCGGGCCCAGGCGGACTCCAAGCTGGAGTTGCCAGCGTACTCAAGGCAATTCAGAAATGGTGAGACCTGCCCGCCAGCCCCAATCCGTTCCCTTTCACAGTGGATGCATCACCAAAGAAGGCCTCGCCCAACCAAACATCTGTCAAAATTCGATCACTCTACTCAGTGGCGGGAGGTCAACCCAGGGTCCCAACTTGAAGAAGAAAATCTTCCTGAGCCGACACTCTCCTACGTCATGCACAGTTAGTGTCAAAAAAAAGGCCTTGTACGCGAAGTCAAAGATGCAAACTGCTCAGGGGGAAGCAAGCAACTAGGAACAATGCACCTCAGAGGTTCACAAACAAAGGAGCTGGTACATGCACTGCTTTCGTGGGATTCGTTGTCCTAATTAGCCCGCAGGGGAGAGATGATGCTATGTCTGCTCCCATAAAGATGTACAGCCTCAGAAACCCACAGGGCATTTGACTCTGCGCTACAGGACCAACACACTCAATGGCAGTGAGTTAGGTTTCGTTTGGATCTACTGTCAACAAGCCATCAGCTTGGCCCATGCCTGGGGTTTGAGTGGCAAGGATCCAGTCCTGGGAAACTTCTAAAAGCCAGGAAATGTGAGGAATCCAACCAGAAGCAAATAGAGTGTGCCTTGCTCTGACCATTTTCAACAGTTAAACAGTGGAAACGCCATGCTGTTGGTCAGTTGGCCACAGAAAACTGGAGAGAAGGCAGTATGGACCAGAGCAAATGGGTTTTCTTTCCCAGGACCAACTCAGCTCCACTTGTCTTGATCTTGGGTGGTGCCCTATTGCAGTGGATTCATCTGGAAACCTTTCACCTGAAGCTACTGTGCCAGCCTTAGGACTTCTTGCCCTGGTGTGGCAATTTATGTACATAATCAAAGTCAAACGTAGAGGGGGGGAAAAAACCCACCACACACCCACAGTGGAAGAAACGCAAACCTTGGGGAAGGGCTTGCCACACAAAGAAAGTCCGGCTTCCTGGCTGGGCCGCGCTTCTCAGGATGGATCTCAGAAAACCTCCTAATGGTTTCATCAGCGGCCACAAAAGTCTGAACAAACCACTCAGGCAAAGGGTACTTAACCTTCCCCACAGCAACAGCCATTAACGTGCAAAGATGTCGTATGGCACTGAGTGGATGTGCATACGAAACGTGTCTGGTAAGAATGTCAACAGTTAGGTCATCTTCGAAAGACCAAACGTGGGCACTGTGTACACAAAAGACAACAGCTGATGCTTTTCGGCCTGGCAATTAGTTCCATTTCTAGAAATGTGCCCCGCCGCACGTGTCTACAGGATGGAAGAGCAAGCAAGTGGTCCAGAGCTACAATCAAGGGTCCAAACAGGACGGGCACACCTGTTATTCTACCTTGAAGACCTTGCTGAAGGCATTATTCCCCACCCCAAACTTGACACCCTCTCATATAGCTCTATGGTCACCATGAGTTGGATGACGTGAGGGCAACTGACAACGGGTAAAGCCCCTGCAAAGACTGGAATAGCCTGTCTCTGCCAAGAATAGAGGTGCCTACATGAAGAAATGGCTACGCGCGGCTTGAATTTTTGCTAAGTGCATGTATGATATTTTTAGACTCTGACAAATTCAGTTGGGTTAGGGAAAGACAAAGCCATGCGAGTTTGTGGCAGCTATTCTTCTAGATTATTAGCTGCCCAAATAATTTTTTTCTGATAAAATAAATGGGTGAGTCCAGAGAGAAAGAGAAAGCGGATCTGTGGAGCTAGGGACTAGGGAGTTAATTACTGATGACCATGGGGTTTCGTTTTCTTTTAGAAGTGATAGAATGTGTGGGAACCAGACAGCGCTGACGGCTGCATAAATCTGTTAATATCCGAGAAAATACTAACTGGCACACTTGGAAGTATGTGATAGGCAGGTCGGCTCTCAATGCAGCTGTTACTTTTCAAAGTTCCATCTTAGGCTACTGCCCCCTGCCCCACTTGCCCACTCAAAGCTGTACCCGGATGCACTGAAGCAAGGGTCCCACCACACAGCATGAGTTGGTAGAAATTGCCAGAACATGTTCCACTGCCCTTGCTTTCTTCATCAGACGACACTATCGTGACTGGGTGGAATCTGTGAGCATCATACAGCCCTGCTGCTTCCTATCTGGGGGCTTTTCAAGCCAAGTGCCTACTTCTGCCTTTATCTGTCAGTATCCCCTTCCTGCCAATGGCCACTTCCTGCTGCTGACAGGGCCCCTGTACAGCTGCAGCCCACTGCCCCCCTCGGGCCTGGGAACCAGAGCAGGCTTGTTACACAAGCTGGAAGCAGAAGGCTCTTCTCGGAGCCGGAGCCCTGCTGTGAGGAAGCTAGGATCAAACTTGGCTCCCGGTCCTCAAAGGATCTTTAAAAGATGTCCCAAACGTTTCCAGTTACCCACCATCCTTATCCAGCTACCCTCTCAAGCTGCCTTGATTTCTGGCTGGCTCTGTGGGGCGGTTTCCCTTTTACTGCCATTCTTTTGCTGCAGGTCACAGCGCCCTTGGGCGATGCCAAAGGTGAACACGCATAGCTGCTAACGGACAGGTTGGAGTCGACCCCGAGACACTCGGAAGAAAGGCCCCACAACCGGCTTCTGAGAGTGCAGCCCTGGAGCACCTGACAGCGCCCAGCTCTGCTCTGACACTCCCGGTGCCGCTTCCATGGCCACTTGGTGAGGTCTTCCCAAGCCACAAAAGCTCCCTTCTGCCCTTTTCTTCTTTTCAAGGAGTAGTTGCAAAGGTCTAGGTGGTCCCTTACAGGGCCCTGGTGGAGGATGCAGCCAGCCCAAGGCTCTGCACCCCCCAGCAGGGTCTTGTACTTTTGCCACCTGTCGCTTTGTGACCTTGCTTTACATCTGGGCTGATGGCTCCACAGTTCCGGGCCCTTGTTTCCTCATGTTGGATCGGGAGCAGCCCGCAGAAGGTGCGTTCCCAGAGCTGGCCGAGCCCACTGTGGGCTTTCTCAGCACAGGGAACTTCCATGGCCAATCGGCTGGCTCTGGGTTTGCACTTCTCCTGGGAAGGGTTTTCACTCCCCCATTCAGAGGCCCAGGTGTACAGACTTACTTCCTGGCTGTTGCCCTGGGCCTACGACAGGTGTAAGTTTTGCGTTCATCCCTGCCTTCTTTATACAGAGCCCTCCAGGAGAGCCCTGGGGACAACAGCATTGAAAACATTGGATTGCTAAACACTAGGTGGGTAGTTAGCAACCACCCTGGGAGGAAGATGAAGCAGTCAGCTCCCATTAGATTTAGTCTCAGAAACACGGTGGGGGTAGTTCTATCCTGTCTGCTAGGGCCACTGAGTTAGAATAGACTATACAGCCAAGGTTTGGTTTTTCAGTTTTACCATGAGTATTAGAATCTGAGCCACCAGTTCACTTCCTTGATCTAATAGCCATCGACTGCCTCCATGAAATTAAAGGCTTGTGTCCTCAGGCTCATCACTGCTATAGTAGGGATGAACTGTGCAAAATAAATTAAAAGCCCAAGAAAACAACTATCTTCTTCGGTGGAAACAGAACAATGTCTCTTTGTTGACTGAGGCACATTTCTGTACTGGAGTAGAAGCAATAGTCTACTCATTTGCTAAAAAAAAAGGCCTTCAGGAACTTCAGGGTGATGAATTATTGAATGGGGCTCTGGTAGCTGCAGTCTTTGTAATTCTCATGACATGACCTTTCCCTAATGGGTCTGGGTAAGAGCAGGTGGGGGGGATTCCAGTGTGAGTGTTTGCTATACCAGGATCCATTGTGGTTGCCATCCTGCTGGGTCTAAGGTGAGCAATCTCAGAAGCAGGGGGTGGGATCTCACTACTAACATGTGTTCTCTTGTACCCTCGATCCCTGCGCAGTGAACCTCCTTGATCCACGGACATGGCGTTGATACCAGGTGAGTGGTAGAGGAGCAGCAGCAGAACCAGGAGCCAGAGCATGAGACAGAGTGGTGGACTTCCCAGCCCACAGAGCAAGTCAAGCGGAATGCTTGGCCAGGAAGCCAGGTGAGGGGAGTGTGGTGCCTCTAAGCATTTCATTGGAGGAGCGGGTTTGCTCACCTAGGAACTGCCCTGGGATTGAGGCTTACAGCGGAGTGGCATGCCATTCATTAACAGCCCCAAAGAACTTTGTAACATGTCCTGGCTGACCCACTCTTTCCTGAGTATTTCTCATCAGAATTGTATACTAGTCACTTCCATCTGAAACCCCATCATCATGAGCATTGTATGGGAGTTGTGTGCAGCCATTGCAATGAATTAGAGAAACCCAGCAGAAAACTAGAGAGTGCTGTGGAGACAGAATCGACTCGGAGCCCCGATGGCCCAGCGGTTAAGCACTAAGCTGTGAACTAAATGGCTAGCAGCTCAACCCCGGCCACCAGATGTTCCACCCGAGAAAGGCCTGGCGAACTGCGCCTGTCAAGATTCTAGCCTCAGAAACTCTATGGAGGTTGCTAAGAGTAGGAAGGACTCGACAACACCTGACACCATTTCAAACATGTTGGGGGTGCTCTTAGGTAAGGGGTGGACTGCTAACCACAAGGTCAGTATGTGAAAGCCCCACTCTCTCTGCAGGAGAAAGATGATGCAGGCTGTCTGGCCTGTGAAGATTTATAGCCTCAGAAACCTTTTGTAGGGGCACTAGGAGTCAGAATTGAGTCGATGGTAGTGGGTTGGGGTTTGGTCCTTATCCGGAAGAGAAGTGCCACACTACACACACCTCACTGCTGAAGAGTCCATTCTGACTGCTAGAAACTCAATAGGACGAAACATTGCCCTTTGGGGTTTCCCCAGGCTGTTAGCCTTTACCAAAGCAGACGGCCACATCTTTCTTTGTCACAGTGGCTGGTGGGCTCAAACTTTCAGTGAGCAGCCACGAGCTGAACCACTGCATCCCCAGGGCTCCCCGTAGGAAAAAGACCCTTGTTCTCTATGGCAGAACCCAGCCCTGTGCACGCAGCAGGTGTTACCTTTTGGCGCCGCCCGCATCCGGGGAGACGATGATGCATTCCTTCCAGTCGGCGATGTTCTCCTTGATCCACTGCAGGACCACAGGCTCGGCGTACAGGTTATCCACGGGGATGTTGAAGAAGCCCTGTGCGAGAGACAGGTGGCCCCTGCTTAGTCAGAGGCTGCCTCAAGTTTCACTGCACTGGGCTACAAAGACATGGTCCAGGTGCAGAGTACCATCCACTCCAGTCATTCTCTTTGGGGTGTTTTCTTAACAGTGACTGCATTTCTGTGGGACGAAAGCTGGCTTTGCATGGAGTTTTTTTTTTTTTTTGTAGATGCCTGCCATTCTCATCATTTCCCAAAGACCAAGAAGGCCTTCCATGGAGCTAATCCTGAACAGCCCTTCCATGGAACAATAGGCAGTGTGCCTGGCTGCAGGTTCAAGTCCGCTTAGAAAGGCCTACCAGTCCACTTCCGAAAAGCCAGGTGCTAAAAACCCCAGGACACAGTCCTACTCTGACAATACATGGGTCAATCATTCCTGTTTGGCTAAGATTTTTTTTTTTTTTGGAGAGGGGAAGGTGGAGGGAGATAATGGATTGAATAGTGTCTCCCCCCAAATAACATGTTGAAATCCCAATCTCTGTACCTGGACTGCCACCCTGCTATGTTAACGAAGCCACCCTACATGAGTAGGGTCAGTCCTACACTTAATCCCTTCTGAGTGGGGTCTCTGATCAAAAGAGGAAACAACTAGAGAGACATGCACAGAGGAAGGACACCAGGTGACAGCAGAGGCAGATGCAAAGGAACATCGAGGTGGCAATTTGGTGGCAGTAAGACTTCTAAAAGAAAGCAGCATGGACAAGATCCAGAGTTGGACTTTCAGCCACCAGAAATATGAGAAAACAAATCCCCATCCTTTCACGTCTCACGTGTGATGTTCACATTACTGTAGTCACAAGACACTAAGGGGGGGGGGGATACAAATAAGTACTTTCCAAATTCAAAAAAGACCAGAACACCTCAGAGTTCTGAACCCAAGTTGTGTCCTCTCAAAATATTAACAAAGTCAGGGTTTAAGCCAGCGGTTCTCAAACTGGGGGTTCCCGACCCCTCTGGGGGTCAAACGACCCTTTCACAGGGGTCGCCCGATTTATAACAGTAGCAAAATTATGAAGTAGCAGTGAAAATAATGTCATGGTTGGGGGTCACCAAAACATGAGGAACTGTACTAATGGGTCGCGGCATGAGGAAGGTTGAGAACCACTGGTTTAAGCACACTCATTAAGCCCCTGATTGAAAGCAACAAGAGAATTCCCCTCACTAGTCAGTTGGTTACCTGTATCTGGGAGGCATGCAGGTCCATGGTGATGATGTGATCCGCCCCAGCAACCGAGAGCATGTTGGCCACAAGTTTTGCAGAAATTGGAGCACGGCTCTAAAACCAGAAAGGTATGGATAGGCAAAGAGAAGAAGAAAAAAATGATCAACATTGTGAGACTGCTCTAACAAGTACATGAGAAAGGTAAAACACAGGGCAAAAAAATCAATGCACATAAAGAAACTTTATGTGTTATGTTATCCAGGGGTCCCAATGCCACAATGGTTAAGCATGCAGCTACTAATGGAAAAGTTGGTGGTTTGCGCCTACCAGCCTGTCTGTCAAAGAATAAACAATAGGTCAACTTCTGTTCAGCGGACCCCCAGGAAACTCTACAGGACAGTTCTACTCTGTACTGGAGAAGAGCTCTGAGTTTTAGAAGCAGAATAGCCAGAAGGCGCCTTAGAAGCAAGCGGGGCAGGGGGTGGTGGGGGGAGGGTATGAGGAACTGATCCCAAGGGCTCAATGGAATATATGTACTAATATGTTGGATAAAATTGATGTATGGATTGTAACAAGAATTGTAAGAGCCCCCAATCAAATGATTTAAAAAAGCAGCAGTAGCAGCAGCGGCCCAGTTTCATCTCACAGACTTTGGACATGCTATCAAGAGAGACCAGTCCTTGCAAAAGAACATCATGCTCGGTAAAGTCGAAGGGCAGCAAAATAGAGGAAGGCCCTCAGGGAGATGGACTGACGCAGCGGCTGCAACTAACATAACAGTTGTGAGGCTGGTGCAGGGCCGGGCAGTGTTTCGTTCTGTTGTGCACAGGGCTGCTCTACGTCCGAATCGACTTGATGACTCACAGTGCGCTTAATACCTTGATTCAGAGCAGACTTGTCAGCAAACCACAAAAACCACCTATTACAGTGATAAAGAGATAAGATCCACCCATTGTTACCCAGCAAATAGTTGTTGGCCATATCCTGCTGTGAGACCATTTATATTTCGTTGAGAACAAACCAACTTTTCTAGGAGCAAAGCACTACAAATACAGGTCATTCCCAACTAATCACGGGGTTCCCTTCCAAAGGTTGATTATCCCTCATTAAAAAACAAAAAAATGGCGGTAAGTATGGTTCTTCATAACTTGAATATCTTATAAATGTAACAGTGCAATTTGTATAGCTCAAAGTGACACAGGTGTGAAGTAAAAAAACAAAACAAACAAATAGGTGCTGAGAGAGAACACTGCTAGCAGTCAGCATTGACTCGGTGGCAGGGAGTTCGGTTTTTGAGAGAGACCACAGCAGGAGGGATCTAAAGTTGGAATAGGACATTTACTAGATTCCTCAGAGGAAGTCACTTTTAAGGTGAGGTGGGCAAAGACAGGGAGAACATTCCAGAAGAAACTGAGGGACAGAACAGGGGCTTCTGCCCAGCCTAACGGAATGAACAAAGAGCCCCGTGGGAACAAGTTATGGACAAAGGACTGTGAGAACTGGCTTGGTCAACACCTTAACCTTGAAGCCAGGCCCTAGTGAATATCTGGACAAAGGACTGTACTTGGAGATAATCCTGAAACATTCTGAAACACACTGATCCAGAAAGGCAGCCCAGATGATAAATTTGAAAGAAAAGATGTATGAGACCCAAGGACGAACAGAACAACTGATTAGAAAGTTACTTAGCCATCTGCAAAGCAGCAGCTCTCCCTTTTGCAAGTGCCATTAAAAAACTACAAGTCTTCCCTTACACAGCCGCATCCTTTCTCAACTCGCTGGGGTGGGGGAGGGTGGTGGGCACCTCATGTCTTTTGAAGTGATCCTATGCATCAATAAACTATGGCTTAACTCGCTGCTGGTGTGTGTGTGTGTGTGTGTGTGAGAGAGAGAGAGAGAGAGAATATATGATGGACCTTACAAACCACACCAATCTGGAACTTGCTAGTTACCCCGTAGCCAACAACCTGGGTACCTGGGTGCAGAACTTCACAGAAATCACACACCCCAGGACTGAACACTAGCCAAAGTCTCTAACTCCCACCAAATGACCTTTCTCTGCATGGGCCTGGCAAGAAGGTGGGGGCAAAATACTGATGGGATTCACCTGTAGTAACTGCAAATAGGGCTGCCTGGCATGCCATCGTGCTGGGCATAAAACGAGCCCTCTGAGGAGGAGGAGGGATACATCCAGAGGCCCCCTTACCCACACACACACACATCTACACCCTCTGTGTGGTGGACAGGTGCACATGCCAACAGTGCCTAAGGATTCGGAAGCCCCCATGTAAACTGTGGAGTCCCCACCCTCACCCCTTCCCGTCCACATTCCATGTGGCCCCATCCCTCGGTGGCTATGTTCACCTCCAAGGTGGAAATGGGCCAACACCTCCTCAGATCCAAGCACACCAGGTTGTTTTTTTTTTTTCTTTCTCCATTCTCCCACAAGCATGCCCATGAGCACACAGATCCACCCATGTTCACGCTCTCATAGCTCCAGAACTCTACCTCCACACTCAAGCCACACCTTTTTATCTTTGTTTTTCTTCTCCGTTTTCCTTTTCCTCTTTAATTCTACTTTGATCCCATATAGATAGTTCTTAAAAAGAGTACAATTCCCAAGGAAGACATTTTGAATGAACCTACAGCTGGGTTTTAAGCACACATTGGGGACTACTTTGGGTGGATCGTTTAAAGAGTTACTCAGGGCAATAATTTCAGGGGGTCAGTGATCCTCTATGGTTCCAGAAAGTCTCGAGTCCGTGAGGATTTAAAATTCGATTTGGGATCTCCCCCTCAATTGATGAAGATTCTTCTGTAGAATCTTTGATTAGAATATCCACTAATGGTCAGCTAGACACTATCCAGTTCCTCTGGCCTTATGGCAAAGGAGGAAATTGTTTGTGGAAGCTGTTACCACACATTCCATTTTTCCCTCTTTTTCCTAATTTTGTTTTCTTTTAAGATGAATGTAGATTTACACGCAGTTTGAAGAACTCAAAAGAGATCCCCTTTACCCTTTAACCAGTTCCCCACAATGGTAACTGCTGGTAAACTCTAGTGGATGCTCACAACTTGGATCTTGACATCAAGATCAATCTACCGATTTTATGCCGATCGCAGCAGTTTGATTTGTGCTCACTGGTCTGGGTGTTTCTGCAACTTTAGCACAGGTGTGGGTTCAGGTTTCCATTACCACAAAGACAGACATCTGTCTTGCCATCACAAGGATAAGCATGGCATTTTAGTGCCTTCAAGAAATATGCTTTATCTGTTTTCTACTTTTCCCAGCACGATGGACACGATGGCTGGCTCAAAGACAAATCTTGGAACAGGACTATTTATTCCACCTAGAAGAGAGAAACCACCTATGAGAGGAACCCAGAGTAGGGTCTTAGACCAGGACACAGCACTCCTACCTTGTCCTTTTTATCCTGACGGGCGTACGGGAAGCACGGGATCACGGCTGTCACGCTGGATGCGGAGGCGATTTTGCAGGCGTTGATCATGATGAGCAGCTCCATAATGTTGTCGTTGATTTCTCCGCAGCCACTCTGGATGATGTAGACATCCTCTCCTCTCACGCTCTCCCCGATCTCCACACTGCACCAGAAAACCAGACCAAACGGTTTGACAGAAACAAAGACACATCAGACCCACTCAGATGAAAAACATTTGTACCCTGAGATCTTCGTCACCCACAGTTTTGGTGATTTTCCAGGACCACTCCCCAAATGCAGCATATAGTTCAACATACTTCAGGGAGGACTCTCAAACCACCAACCTTGGGCTGTGCACCACTGAGGTACTCCAAACTCAAGAAGTCTTAACCATGTCTAAGGCTCTCGAAGCTCTTCAAGATTTCACTGGGCTCCAACACAACATCTATCTCAATGCCCTGCAGATGTCTCACCCAGAGCTTGGGCACAGCTGCCACCTGGGTGCCCGTCACCCAGCTCCTGCACAGGATTTGCCATTTTCTGTATCCCCTTTCTTAAGTGTGTACTTCCTTGTTTTGCTGATGGGCATCCTCTAGTAGCTTCCTGAGAAAGAGTAAAGAGGAGCTACATTTCTTGAGACTTGCCCATCTAAAAGGATGACTTGCTTGTTTTGGGGTCTATTTTTACCGGTTGTGCTGGGCACTTAGTGCTTTCTATGGAAACGTCCTTCAGGCTTGGGAAATTTACATGAACTGTTTCTTTCATGATTCCTTCTCCTCCTGCTCTTCTTTCGGAGACACTTTGACGGCAATTGTGTTACTAAACTGACCCTCTAAAGCTCTCCCACCCCACTTCATCTTTATTTACTTTTCTAAAAGTTAATTAACTTTAACTCCTAAATTTCTCAGTGGGTTGTGCAAGCTATAGAGGGGTTCTGAATAACAGTGGTCACCAATACCAATAGGGTCTTTGGCCCTAAATCTAAACCTATATATTAGCATAGCTTAATATTTTAAGTGAAAGTAAAGTACTTAGGGCAATATTGATTTTTCCCCAAGAAGCTAGAGCCCTGTGGATTAAGTGCTGCCTTGCTCATCTGGGCTATGGGTAGAACATGTACTCAACAAGGAAGGGTGGACAGGAAGGTATAATGGATATTTCTGGGCCATAGGCATACATATTTTAGATTTTTATTTCTATAAATACATCTTCAAATATAAAATGCATATTAAATATTCTGAGGGCAATATTGAAGTTTATGATCCCTTTTTTTATGACCCCTTTTCTTAAACAGGGAACCCTGGGGGAGTAGTGGTTACCTGTTGTGCTGCTAACTGGAAGGTCAGCAGTTCAAAACCACCAGCTAGCTGCTCCATGGGAGAATGAGGCTTTCTACTCCCATAAAGAGTTATCCTTGGAAACCCACTGGGGCAGTTCTATTCTGTCTATAGGGCCATTGTGAGTTGGAATCGACTTAATGACACTGAGTATCTTAACTGACTTCAGTTTTCAATTAACCAACTAGCTATAAGGCCTGATTAGACTCAACAATATTTATGAAAATATGCTTCCATGTTGCTAAGGAAACTAGGACACATGAATTCAAATGGTCTGACAGGGAAGACAGGTCACCTAATACACACACACACCCCTTCTTCCCTGCCCACATCTAGTACCAAACCAAAAACTAAACCAAACTCACTGCCATCAAGTCCATGCTGCCTCACCAAGACCCACTCTGGGTTTACAAGACTAACTCTTTATGGGAGTAGAAAGCCCAGTCTTTCTCCCGAGGAGCTACTACTGGTGGATTCAAAATGCTGACTGCATGGATCACAGCCCAATATGTAACCACTACACCACCAGGGCTCCTATGGCATCTAGTACAGAGACATTAAAAACTAAAGAATGTGAAATTATAGCGTGCTTCGCAACAAGAGGTCATATGATAGAGTCCTCGGCTCTGATCTATTGGGTGGGGGTGTTCAAAAAGTTCAAAGGAAAATAGAATAGAAGAGATATTGGAATTTTTTCCATGAACTTTTTGAGGTCTTCAGAGAGGCAGACGTCTCAATCTCCCAGGACTGCTATCACCATGCAACTCCAGAAGACACAATCCTAACATTCTGTCTCCTTTAAAAACAAAAACAAATGAAAAACAGTTTATTCAGGACTCTTAAAGCTCTTGTAACAATCAATACATCAATTGTATCAAGCACATTTGTACGTATGTTATCATTATTTTCCAGACATTTACTTTCAATTCAATCCTTGGTATCAGCTCCTCTCCCCCCACCCTGTCTCGCTTGCCCCATGGTTTCTGTTGTTCATCTCCTGGGGGGGGGGGGCGGCACAGTTATGTGTTGATCATTGCGTTCCGTTCCACCTTCCTCTCCACCTTCCCCCTACCCTCCTGGTATTGCTATTCCCATTCCTTTTCCTGGATTCTGTGTGGCCTTTTGGACCTGTTTCAACAGACTCACCACACCCAGAGCTATGGCAGCCATCGGGCAACTCTGAAGGAAAGGTCGAAAGAATCCAATAGGCTCTGCCATAATATTGTGGTGTTACCACTTACCTCTGGATTGCCTGTAATGGGAGGAAATAACCCATTATTTGCTTAGGCCATTATTTGGCACTAATTAGCAAACTCGCATGAGCACCTGCATGGTGTAAACAGTTACCAACCACAAGGTTGGAGGTTCGAACCCACCCTGGGTGTCTCTGTAAAAAAGCCTGGAAACCTCCTTCCACATGGGCTGTCATGAAAACCCTATGGAATACAGTTCTACCCTGATCCATGTAGCCAAAAGCATTCCCAAGTGGCCCCTGAAGTCACTCAATGGCCACTGGCTTGTCTTTTTTTTTTTTTTTTTGTCAAACAAATGGTCAACCTCTTCTTCACACCTTAAGTGAAGTCATATTTTCTCTATTTAAATATATAATTAAAAAACTGAATAGTTAACCCTCAGAATTCTAGAGTGAGTGCCCCTAGAACAAGTGTTCAGTAAAGGGTCTTCTCCCTTTGCCACAGGCTCCCCAGAGGTAAGCAATCCTTTACCTACCAACACACCTGTGGCTGTAGTCTTTATGGAAGCCTACTGCCGCATCTTTCTCTGACAGTTAGTGTGCTCAAACCTCATGATTGGCAGCTGAGCATTTAACCATAGGCTACCAGGTCAAACCAAGGCTCCTTTTTCGCTAGGTCAGAACCAACCCAAAGGCCATGGGTATCTTTCCTAGAAGTCCCATTTTGGGGGTATAATTTTGCAGTGTGGTGTTTTTAGGAAGACACACCACCTTACAGCAAAACTGACTATAAATGAAAGGTTCATCGACTAATGATCTCTCTTCCTTTCCTAAATACTAGGAGGCAATCTTAGTCAATTAAATTGTTTCATCAACAGTTAGGGAAAGCCAGACATTTCAAAACAAATCTTCATTAAGGCCCTATGTGGTCATTAAAGTAGGCCTAGCATTTGGCTGTGTTCCTGCATGCTCACACTTGCGGTTGTGGATGGAAAGGGTCTGAGGAGCCCTAATGGCACAGTAGTTAAACGCTCAGCTGCTAACCCAAAGGTCAGTAGCTCAAGTCCACCAAGTGCTCTGTGGGAGAAAGACGAGGCATTCTGGAAATCCTATGGGGCAGTTCACTCTGTTCTATTAGGGCTCGATGAAGTGGAATTGACAGCAAAGGGTTGTTTTGTTTTGTGTTTTTAAAATTAGATTTACATCCAAACAGACGGCAGTGCGTACTCGGAATTTACTGAAAACCAAATAAATGTGACCCTGCTTTAGCCTTAAAACAAACATCTTCACACTTAAAACATCTATATTTCAGTTTCTGAGTGAATGTCACCCAGCAGGGCACACAGTATTTATAGCAGAAATCCAACATTGACTTAGCAACGAACTTCTGATCGAGATTAGCCAAGCCCTTTCGCAAAGGATTGTGCTGCCCCGCGAGAACACGGAAAAGCAGCCTATTTGCTTTCCAAACCCCTTTCATCCAGAAATTTCCCTGTAACTTTCTGCACTACTTCCTGAATAAAAGTGACTGTCCCCCTCTCCTGTTCCTGGAGACCCCAGGTGGTGCCAACAGGTAGGCACTCCGAGAAGAACCCACCTAGAGGGGTCTCCGAAGAAAGGTCTCGCGATCCTGCTTCCAAGAGGTCATGGCCCCGAAAGCCCTATGGAGTGCAGTGCTACCTGGTGCTGTTCTCCTCACGGGGTTGTCATGAGCCAGACTTGACCCCACGGCCACTGGTTCTCTGAGCTTTGGAAACTTGAGTAGCATTTAGAAGCCACTGCCAAGTTCAAGCCCAGCTCCTTTTCAAGCGCTCTCTGTCATCCTCCAGGACCTACAAAGGTGACTGTATGCATCAACATTAAGACCATCTACCTCACTCAGGTTCCTCCACTTCTTCTAATTGTAAGCCATCTCACAGAAGTCCCCAGCATTCCCAAAGTCTGAAAAGCAGCCTCAGAACCACAGCGCACAGCCTCCATCACGCGTCAACGAAACGTTTGTCTAAAGGCACGGTCGCAAAGATTTTTTCTCCAGTGCGTTTCCCCCACACCTGGTATAGTTTTCGGGGTTGTATTGAGGTACGTTTTGTAAAGATGGGAAGTAGGGGTGGCGCTGGCTCTGGCTTAGGGGATGCCCATCTTATTGTTCTAGCACATGCATTGGAAAGGTCCATGGACCTGGCTGTTTGCCAAAGAGCGGAGAAGACTTGGATGTTTGCCAAAGAGAGGAGAATGGACTGATCCCTGTGGTGCGGACTGGGAAAGGGGAAAGGGGAGACCAATTGGAAACTGGTCAGAGAGAAGTGCTGACTCAGCCGGATGGGCCCCCTGGCAACCCTGGAGGTGGCAAGGCGACCACTTGAGAAGAGTACACATGACACTCGACCCAAGTCCAGGCAACGGAGCACCGGGCTGCTGGTAGATGCTTTTAAGGGGATTCCGACTCATAGCAACCCCAGGTGATGGTGAATTGTCATCTTGCCAGCAGATGGCCAGGCCTCCGCAGTACACGGCAACCTAGGGAAAAACAGTGCCGGAGCAATTTGGTCCAACTTGCTGACGGAGCGCTCCCTGCGAGCCATGGAAACCGCCAAGGTGAACAGAAACGACTCCTGGGCGGCCACTCTCCAGTGGCGCCCAGGACACGCGCCGGCTGAGTCTCCGCCAGGCCTTTCCTCCCCAGCACCTCCAGGTGGGTGCCAACGGCCAGCCGCCGGGTGAGCAGCTGAGCCACCAGGGGTCCCGTTTTCCACAGCAGAGGCCCAGAGCCACCAAGAAGCCAGAGACCCACAAGCGTCGAGGCAGACAACCCCCCCCGCGAGGCGCCCAGGGGAAGCCGCACGTGTGCCCTGGAGTTCTCACGCAGGAGCTGGGCACCAGCACAGGCTCGCACCCGCCCGAGTCTCCCACCCCTGGCCGCAGAACGGCACGGGACGCTCCCCCGGCGCCGGCCCGGGACGC